GACGATTTTGCTGCTCGTATATTTCCGTACGAAAAGACTTTMTGTTCTCTGAGGAAAGCTATTTAGCGAGTATATGATTACTGCAATCACACGCCGTTCATTTCCTTCCAATTCCCCAGTAAGAAATGTCGAGAATTGCAAAATTGACAATATTGTAGTGATCAAATTTTAGCTGACTTGCWTTGTGACACTGGATCAAATCTTCAGACAGGTGCAACGAGGAGTACTGGTACCAACATAACAACAAATGCTACAAGTTCTTTCTGGATTCCAGAGCTTCCTGGAATGATGCAACTGGCAYATGCGCACAAGAAGGAAGTGTGCTTGGATTGATAAAAACCAAGGAAAGRCTCCTCTTTGTGAAAGATATTGCTGAAAAACAGAAAAGCTCTCATGAACAAATTATGGTTGGACTTCGCAAGGTAGGATTTTTCACAGCCAAGACTACAACAGATATAACCTTTGTTAACCTACATACAAATGAAATAGCTTTTGAATGTTTAGACTCGTTCGTAGGAGTCTCTCTTCCTTTCCTGTCTTCTAATTTCGCGTTTTCTTGCCTTCCTGGCGATCTTCTGACAAGGCCTTCTTGTCCTTTCTTGGCGAGTCCCAAGTCCCCGCTCTGTCAAGAGGATACCAGAGGGATCCCAAAAGGGCRAAATGAATAGGCTATTGAATGATTTGGTTTTGTAGGATTCAAAAGGAACCTGGAAATGGAATGATGGKACGTTTGTTGATTCATCCTTGTGGAACGTTACTCAGCCGAGCGGACCAATAGGAACGGTCGATGTACGATCAACGTCACTTAATAACGTACCTGAGAATGATAAGCTGSCGTTTGTTTGTCAGAAAGACATTCAGGAATGACCGCGTAGCTACTGAAATACCTAGATGGAATTAAAATATGTACCACCGGATGAAATGCCCTTCGCGCGCCGGTATTACCTCTTTCTAGCACTTTTACTCACCAAGTTTATTTCCAGCTATTTTCATGTTTAACGGGTTAAGTGAGTTTACTTATTGCACACTGTAAACATCTTTGTGCTTTCTTTTGTTGTCAAGTAAAACAATAAAATAATTTAGTCTGATAGGAAATGGCTGTGTCAATTTGTGTTTTTCAAGTACAACGTTTTAGGATTAGACGTGAGATAGTTTCCTTGTTTAAATCCTTTGCTGTCATCCTTCCAGCAAATTGTCTGCGCTACCTCGCCACACTGTCTCATCCGTGTTATATAACGCCAGTCATATATTCATGTGTGATCTGATATATAACCATACTTCGACGCAGGTCTTTAGTACACGTACTGACGATTTTTGCGGCAGTGTAGCCACTTTGATCCAAGTGGATATTATGTCAAAGAATTAACCTGTAAACGTGTTATTCAGCACACTGAGACGTCTCTTCAGAAGGATAAGACAAAATCTGCTGAATTTTTGAAAATCGTTAAAAGAATTGCAACAAAAATCGTCAGCGTGAAACAGCTTTTMGTCACTCATTTTTCAAACAGAAAGCAATTAGCTCTTTGAAAAAAAAAAAGAAAGAAACTTGCGAAATTTTCGCAATTGATTATGACATTGATATATTTTTCATTTACGCGGCTACAACACTATTAAAGCACGCCTTTCAACCAATCACAGTGATTTATGCTTCCTTCCATGTTTCGATGGTTGTTATGGAGTGCAAAATTAAGTAGGTTACCCCAGAAATCCGTGCGACAATTACTTATTGCCAACATTTAAAACAAACGCATCAACTGTGAGGCGATTGTGAGTTTTTTTCGATATATATTGTTGAGTTTTGGTTTACTAGCCATCAAAATGCTTAAGCCCTATAATCATTTTCAAGGTAAGTCTTGTTCATGCTATGATAATTGCTTGAAAACAGTTGAACGAAGATCTCAGTATAACATCCTACAATAAAATTACACGAAAGATAAACAATAATTAAATCAATATATAGATTTGTATTTGAACACGTTAAACGTTTTTATATGGTCATTTGGTATACTGATTAAATAAAAACGAACTGGCGAATACTATTAAAGCAAAAGGCATAATTAGCACAGTTAGTAGAGCTGCTTTTCGGAATTCATTGAAAATTCGTATCTATTTTAATAATTCTGAAGGTTATATAGCCAAATCGAAATCACTAGTAGAATTCAATCAAGTAAAACGCTTTCATATATGACCTGAAAAGCTGCACAGCCGTACACTTCAAAAATTTCTCAATCAAAAAAAAATCACTTAAGTCTGCTTCCTTATTATACTGCACTAGTTTACATGTAAAAGGAATTYATTATGAAAAGTCAACTCTGATTGTTAATTAGAATAGTAGACTCTCGACTTCTTGGCTCCAAGATTTGTTTGGTGCGWGCATTACTTGGCCGTATGCAAGCGCTCGTCACTACCATCATACTCTGCATCATACACTTAAAATAGCCTTATATTTATAACTAACTTAAAAGATATTCAACACATTTACCACATATATAGTATAACAGCTAGAGCTTTTTTTAAGACTGTTTACCAGCAGTTTACACTTTGCTTCCAAAGATAAAAATAATAAAACGAAAAATCTGATGGGATAAGAGGTCGCGAAGTCGATCGAAGGTGTTAGTATTGAGGGGTTATTTTAACATTGTATTATAGATTCAATATATATTCCAAATGTTTGCTACAAAWTGACAGGTTTGTGTTATTCAACTGATCAGTATAAAATAGAGACAACAGTTTTTATTCCTACATGATGAGCAAGTAAATCGGAGCGTTTCCTAATCAAAATGTAAAATCAGAAGCTCACAATATTCGAGTAAGATGTACAAGACGATTTGTAGATCAATTAATTATGAGGTCATTCAAATAAATAAAACTATTAGAGGACTTTTAGCTCAGCTCTTCAATAATTCAAAAGTAGGATCGTAGCCTGAAATGAATAAAAAGATCACACAGCTAGATCCGAGAAAACTTTACTTTTCATTTTCCTTCAACGAAAACAAGAAATATACGAAAACAATTGAGAGGTTTTGAGTCATTAACGCAGAAGCCTGTTCATCCAATTTTTAAAAAACATTCATAAATGAATGGTCTTTAAGTAATTTAAGGGCGTTGGAGGAAAATTATTAGGTAAATTGCCAGCTGATAGCAGCATTGCATCCGGCTTGAATTGAGTGTTGCAGAAGAAAGTAATCGGAATCAATTATCTTGTAAGGAATTGTGAAAAAAGTATTCAATCTAAAGCTTCGTTTCTACGCGTTTGTTATCAAAATAATAAATGTATTTTGTCGCTTCTGCGTTAAGAGAAAGGCTACTGATTTCTTGAGGTTTTCTAAAATATTTTAAGTTATACTGTGGTCTAAAAGTTAGCATTTTAGCTGGGTCGAAAATACGAATTATAGAAGTAAGGTTAACAATTATTCCTGTACAAAAAAAAATAAAAAAAATAATGTACTTTAAATTTGCGAGCTCAACAGTATCATCACAAGAGACTCCAGATCTCTACATAAACCTACGGGCATCRTCCCATCCAAATGGTAAAATTTTCAATTATAGATAGARGATAATGCATCAGCCCCAGGCAAAAACCCGCAAGAAGACTTTGACGGATCGGCCGGAATTAATAATATATCGATGTATAATGAATGCGTTTTAAGAGCAGATGTCCTCCGTCGCAATGTAATAATCAGGATACGKAGGTGTGAGTGAATTTGGATAACTAGCGAACAAGAAATCAAAACATCTCCGGATTGAATAGTTGCCGAAGTTATTTTAGTGGCTTACTAAGTACGAACAGCTTTAAAAATATCTGTTTAAAAAATGTCAAAATATAAAAAGCCAGAGGAAAAGTATGGCAGAGAACTGTTGGGATCATAGTTAATAGAGGGAGATGGTTATGAAAAGCTATTAACTATGTTGGGATTCAAAAGAAAGGAAAACCGTACGAAAATCAATTCTAAAAATCACGGTAACCCTTAGAAATGTTCTATAGCTAAGAAAGATAAATGTGAACAAGAATACTAAGATGTCTAAAAAAACAAAACACAAGAACAAAACAAAACAAAAACTGAAAAAGAGTTAAAGACGTGGGTTCTAGATCTTTCTGTAAATGTGAATTCAAGATGGCGGTTGACAAACGCCATTAGTAAATCGACTGGGATGGACAGGTACCTGGGAACGAATTGGTTATATCCCACAATACTTTTCGAACAAAATGCCGCTTTATTCAAAACTGCTGAAGCTCTATATGACAAGAATGACACACAAGACAATGTTGGTTGTTTCCAAAATCTGATCTAGTACATAAACCGTTGTTACAGYGTAGATAGGCCATTTTCACTGACCTATTAGCAGTGTTAGAGTAGAAACTGGGAACAAGTCAAGTGACGCGCATGGACAGAAAGACTAGAGTCCGTCAAATTCAGAATGAAATTCCGTCAAAGCAAGCAGCAAGTAAATGCGACAAAAAACACCGATGGTGAATTCCAACCCTAAAAGTAGACCTACAATTAACCCTAACCTTTTTTGAATTTTTGAAAATGTCGTTCTGATACTTGCCAAATGGCCAATACAAAGAAAGAATTGACAATCCGAGAATGAAAGACATTGATTTACAGAACAATGTACACTCAATAAAAGTGCATTCTTAAATATTGCCATGCGAACGCAATGAAATTTATCTTAGTATTCAAGGAAGGAAGCGGACATATGTTATACCYAGCCAGACAGCACGTAAATGATAATCAAGGCTATGGACCGCCGAAGGTGCTGCTTTGATGTAGATATTGAAAATATGGTTACTTAGGAAACTGACTTTTTTTCTTTTTGAAAAATATAGGTCAGTTAGAGAATTAATTTTATCAAAGAGAGTGCCTCAGTTCATCTAATGTGTTGCAGACTACGTACTTGGGCGATGGGAAACTCGAGAGACTCCAGCTCTAAGTTTGAAACACTTACTATAGTTTGAGATCCGAGCATGCTCACATAGCATATTGATAAATACAGACATGTATATATAGTAACGAGACTGCTTTTCACAACGGAAGAATAAAAGAAAAACAGTTTGAGCACTRTGAAAATGATTGATGTACGTACGCCACGACAGTCTAAATTGATAACTCCAAGGGGAGCTTTGCGTGCTTGAAAGATGAATCTTTTATGAGCAACTTCCCAATTGGAACCGCCGCACTTTTTGGCTTACTTTGACTCTCAGTCCAAAAACAACAGACAGCTGCTGDACGAAGCGCCCATACGAAAAAGCAATTCATTTCCTTGTCGCCATGAACAATATGAGTAAGTAAAGACGTTTTATTTTAGAACCTTCTTAATGTAAACTCATTTATTTTCTGTTAACTTAAATAATGGATAGAATCAAAATCAATAGTATCTGTTGTCGGCAATCACTTTAGGAACGGGTTTTTTCCCCCGCAGAAATGTGATAAAAAAAATAAGATATTCTCAAGATTGACGTAAAATAAATCTATAGTAATTACTTTCACGATTCAGTGTCTCGTAACTATGTTTATGAATAAAGCTGAAAGGGCCCCTTAGCTATAGAAACCAAAGATCTATGGTATCACAAAAGATATTCATAGTGTATATATAGAGTATTTTCACTAGTTAAGGTATCAAGTTTACGAAATGGAGAAATATAGAGGTATTTCATAGATAATTATATGGTCGATAAATATCTATATTTCATGACTGAATGGAGAGATCAGATCAGTTAATGCTATAGTAAACACTTCTACATAGTTACGGTAGTTTCATTCAATGCGAACTGCTTTTGGAGTAAAGAYGGCCAGAAAACWCGACGACTGTTCGTGACACTAACTTATAAAAGAAGAACACTTTAGTTATTATTACTTATCTTGATTTATGTGATTTATGTTTGCTACGGCTGTTCTAAATTATGTTCACTTTTTATTAAGAGGATGTGTTTTTCCACTTTCCTTTTTATAGTATCTATGTATCCCTTTTTTTCATTTTTTCTTTCATTCAATCGTTCGCTCGTTCATTCATCCATTTTCCCTTTCGTTCGTCTGTTGATGACCTTCCTTCCTTGGCTTTTTTTATACTGATATATCTATGTGTCATTCCTTGCTCATCACTGTCACTTACACATGTATTTGTAATTAGCATTCCCATTGCACTTTAAATGACGGCCCAGCTTTTTAAAATTTTAGTTTAGTTTAGCTTTTTCTGCTATTCTTTCTTTATTCACTCGTTAGTCCGGTTTTCATCCTGTTTCAGTAGAAGTGCCACTCAGTGACTTTGACTTTAAAACTCTTCTAAGTTAAAAGGCTTGTCTGGGATTACATACACCTATTTGCAAAATGGTTGTCGTAGAAAGATTTGATTTACGATAAACGTTAAACATTATGGATTTCTTCAATTGTATATTTGAGATTTTCAGTGACGTCAGACTTGTTCGACCAATAAGAACTCCTAATTAAGCCTCTGACATGACGTCATTAGTTATGAATCATTATTGGTAATGATTTTCCCCCTAGATTTTCCTTATGGCAACCTTTTTGCACACGGAATTAAGCGTCAGCTAGTCAAAGCGTGGCGTGCCGCGGCTTGGTCTTTGTATGTACACCTTTKTATGACGTCAATACTGGTTGCGTGAACTACAGTACTACACTATAACGACAACTCAATAAGAGTGTTTCCTTTCGTTCTACACGTGTCGAAAATAGTTTAAGTATATCAAAAACCTTTAAGTGCTTTGAAGGAGAGTTTTAAGTAAGATCTTTGGAAAATATAGCTGTTTTGATTAACGTTCTGAACGGYTGAGTGTGAACTAAAAGCCACAATAATGTTACTTAGGACTCCGCTGCTTTTGCTATTGCTGTCGGCGTAATACGACTAAGTTGACATAATGTTATAAAATGCTCAAAGTACAATCTGTAACAGAAACAGCATAACTATATATTTACACTCAGGATCGCATAACAAACGTAGTCAATAGTATACCACACGGAATCCTATCACACATGCATAGATCTATATCAATTTGCAAGTYCCGATCTCAATATAAATTGTTCCAGCTTATCAGATATTTCAATATTAGCTCAGCCGGTACAATGCGGGCCGACGCATTGCTGACTTCTGTCTCTCTTCATAAGAGACTCAGACTTAAGTGAAGGCAAATAAAATGGTCATTATACATTCGTAATTAAAGAGATGCAATTAAGACTCTTATCTTGTGTCCTCTTCCAATGCATAATATGTTTTTCTTTTTTCTATATTCTGTTGTGTTATTTCATTTACTGAAGGTTTCTTAACTGACTAGAGTCATTGACTTTATGCATAATTCCAAGTGCACCTCAAAATCCAGTCAAACTGACGGTCGGTATTGTGGGTAATTTGCATCGTATACACATGCTTACCACACATGAATTCAGATGTTGGAAAATGATCAACGGTTGTTTATTGACTTTGGATTTATTGATAACTTCTTATTTTTTTCTCTCGCTTTTCTGAACTTATACGTTCTCAAGAGGATAAAATAAAAATCAATAAAAATAAAGATAAAAAACAACAACAAACAAACAAACCAAAMATTGGTTCAAAAACGTATCAGTCGGACAAAACGACTTAAAGATTTTTCGAGATACCGCTAAGTATAWATCATCAAGCCTCGGTTTAACTTTTAYATATTCTACGTCCTTGAGCCCCCAGCTGGCTCAAAGTTAATGAATATTTTTCGGAAATTACACATTCTAGTGACACACTTGGTGGATGCTAGCTCTTTGGGGCTTAAAAACATTGCTTATAATAGATCGTTTTTGAAACACAAAAGCGTGGTGCATCGTGGTCTAGTTTCAGTACAAACTACACCATATTTGGCTGCATGAACTGAGGGTGTTATACCGAATCTATACCATAATGCCATGCGTAATGCTTTTTCAAAAAAGTCCTATGGGAGATTGGGACTAGCGTTCTATTGAGCTTCACTAAGCACTACATTCATTTTCTTTTTTTGCCGCCAAAATTGTASCTTCCTTGTCAGTACTCAAATACCGTGTGCAATGATGGGAGTCCAATAAATAACTCCTCAATCTCGTACCCAGAGAGGAACGGCGGCTCTGGGTACGAGATTGATAACTCCTATAAGTACTGGACGCGCATGTGCAAAACCATCAGAGGCAATTCTTGTCTWAAATAGATTTCTGAAATCTTTTATTTGAAACCACTCTTCATTTTAATTAAAATGACTAAAAAACCGGATGAGAAACAAAGGGGAAGCTTTATAAAMATTTGTGTAGTCTGCCATCTGTTTTGTACAGTATTTTATCACAGGCAGAACCACCAAACAGGCGCCAGTTTTTTCATGTATCATTGAAAGACAATAGGTTTCTTCGGGCAATATTTCAGACAAATAAGACAAATGACTACCTTTATTTCGATTTAMTGTACGTTGTCGTGCCTAGCAATTKATAATTCAGAATTCAATGAATTATTTATCTGACATTAAAAGCTTTAATATGCTTGTACAAAATCACTTGTTTTACAATTGCGGTCATGGGATAAAAACTTCGATTTATATATACCAACTTCAAACTGCTAGCTGTCAAAATTAGCTATAAATGGTCATTTTGAGATATTGTATCTTTTTTACTAATGAACCGRCCGCACCGCCAAGGCTGGGAATGGCAACTCAATCACTACATAAAAGTCGTCTTGTCTGTTTTTCAATAAATCTCTATATATTTCATGCTGTTTATTTTCATATTTCAAGTTTCATTCAAGTTGCCATGGAAATATTTTACTAAACATTWCACATGACGCGGTTGAAGTGCGAATAATTAATTTAAGCGGTTATTGGAAAATCGATATAAAAAACTCGGTAGTGAAACAGCACAGGACATAATGATGGAAATCCTAATAAATAGCCAAAGAATCGTAATTAATAACCCTTCCATTACTAAAATAGCTGACATCAAGATGTAAAAAAAAACTGTATTATTAGCGCGTCAAGTTGGTTTCTTTCAGTTCTCCTAAGAAGATTACTAGTAGATTTTTTTTTAAAAAAAACGTCCGACTTATAACAACAAACCAGTGATTGTGCGTGTGTTCGTAAGATAATCAATTGATTTACTGGTCCTTAAGGTCTTAAAAGAGGGTAGATTGGATGATTTGAAAACCAGAGAACTTTATAATCACATTGCAGATGAAGTGGACGGATGAAACCATGGCGTTGTTTTTCTCCCACGTTGATCGATAATTGTCATTTGGAGTTTTATTGTGACGAGAATAGCCATGGGCATACTCTATGTGATAACATAGCTTTGGGCTGCCAAAGAGCTACATAAAACAATAGAAGAACAATATTATAACAAGCCGCCAATTCAGAAGGAGGAATTATTATAAAGCTTTGTAATTGTGGRTATTCATTCGTCACTATCAGTCYAGTTGAGCCATATCGACCACAAGGACCGCCCAAATTTCAAATTTGYTTTATTATTTTCGCCATTAACACCTTAAAACCTACAAGAGATCTTGAACGTTTTTACGCTTTTGTGCACGCATTTAAGGATTAAATTTTCGTCGTTTCTCAAGTTTTTGTATGAGCACCAACTATAATTCTGCTTGGTGATGGATTGAATGGATATTTGCCTACGCGGAAAAACTGGATTTCAAGAGTTTCATCTCAGAATCAAGAGAATTGACGCAGACACTCAATGTATCAAAACTGATCWGTTAAATTTCGTCAAAGCAATATTGAAGGATTTATTACAAACGCTCGCAAATAACCATTAAATCAAGCACTTTTCTTGAACTTGAAATGTCGTTGTTGACAATGAATGTTTCTAATGTTACAGCTAATGATTCAGCGTCGGGATGCTCTTTCACTGACAAAGAATCAGCGTCGACAATACTAAAGATGATTGCCTACACCAGTATTTCTCTTCTAAGTCTGGCTGGAAATACACTTGTCTTGGCTGTCTTCCGCAAAAACCGCGAGCTGCGTTCCGTGGTGTTCTACTTCATTGCCAACATGGCAGTTTCAGATTTGGTGCTGCCGTTATTCGCTTTTCCTAGAGCAATTGGTGAAATAATAAACGGACCATTGACATGGATGCTTGATGGATCAATAGGCTCTCTCTCATGTAAAATGGCAACTTTTTTACAAGACATTTCCACTGCTGTATCCATCGAAAGTCTGGTTGTCATAGCGCTGGAAAGGTTTGTTTCGGTGGTTCATTCAGACAGAAAAAGTTTTCTCAGTTCTCAAAAGACCAGGCGAACGGTTCTTGTTTGTACATGGGTTTTAGCCATACTTTTACACTTACCTTATCTATTTGTATTTGAAATTGTTAAAGCTAACGGYAAACAATTTTGTTTGCCATTGTGGAGTAGTGATCGACGATGGAGAATGACTATACCAGTGATATATTTTGTGTCAATATTTACAGTCTTGTATGCACTACCTTTTCTTCTTCTGGCCATTTTATACTCAGCAATTGTGCATAAACTACGGCATTTGGATATTCCAGGCTGCAATTGCTCTCAACGGAGAAGAAGACAAGAAAGAAAYAGAACAATCACCATAATGGCAATGATATTCGTTGCAGCGTTCTTTTTGTGTTGGACACCATTTTTCATCTATGCTTTCCTCCTTTGCTTCAAATGGCACTTAGACATGCCATGTTCACAGATAAACTTTAGATTTACTGTTATACTCATCGCTCACTTAAACAGCGCTATCAATCCTTTCATATACTTTCTCTGTAGCAAATCATTCCGAAAAGGAGTCAGAAATGTAATTCCGCTTTGTTTAGAAATATGAATTATCTCGGAAAAGTTGTGTTATTGCTTTTTGATCACATAATTCATCGCCTGCTTTCTTTATTTTATTAAAAGGGATAAATCTTATATTATGCTATGAGYTCAAAAGGACTATACGCTTCAAATATTGTTCGTGTACTAGCGGAGCTAATGATAAAATCATTCGTATAAGAAAACCAAAAAAAATTGAAATGAAAAGTAATATACAGTCCTAGTTATGTGTGTCATCTAAAGATAAAACCAAACTATCTCAAAATGCGTGACGTCAGAGTATAATAAAAAAATTGCCGGACGCCTACATGGGGACATGGTGAATTGACGGGCAACCCTTGACCAATCACGCACGAGTGTATATTTGGAATAGATAATAAAATCCTTTTTAGTATTTAGCATAACAAGACTACTTGTTGATAGTGATTTGGCGGGAAACCAGTATTTTTCTTTTTTTAGCTTCGTTTCATTGTCTTATAATATTTGGCGCCTAGGATTCACTTGATAAAATTACATCTTTGTTCTAGACATCATGTGTTTTAAGGATCTCTTAACTTGAGCCTTCCTTATTTATCCAATTTATCCAGCGTTTTATTCATTAGCTGTCGCTAAAGCGCTTACCAAGTAATTGCCTAACTCCAAAACAGATGACAAATTCATTAAAGAAAGATTTCCCTTCATTACTTTTTAAAGAGCTTGAAGATCGACGTCCCTGAGGTCCTTAGCCACAGCTCTTGACACGGATTTATCAAATCCAGTTTTATAGTGCGACTAAATTAAAATAGAAAACGTGATAATTTGTTGAAAGACTATACGAATTTTGAATTGAGGACTACACTAAAACTCGACACAGAATCCTTTATTTCACCGAGTTTCACTAAGTGGTTTAATATATTTTCTCGCTAATTAGTCGACCGCCATATTGGTATTTGCATTGAACATGCGTTCTTGGAGGTAAAGCTAAAAATGTTTCRCACGAAAAAGTAAATCAGTCAAATCATGCAAAACACTAACTGTAGTTCAGTATTATCATTACTCTTCCAGAGGATTTAATAAACAGCATTATTATTAAAATATGGATTTCGAAAAAAAATGGATAAAAGTAGTTTTTAGCATTCTGAAAACGAGAAAGAAAATCACTACCCCTCGAGCGGGCAAATAATTTTTCTCAAGATGTGTAAACTATATAATCTAGCTTAGAATRATGAAATCAAGCGCAACATAGTGCGTACATATTTCACTTTCCCACGCCCAAACATGCAAACGGTGTCCAACTGGGAATGAACGATTTTTTCATCTCCATTTCAGGAATCGTAAGTTTGAAATTGCGTAATGTATAATCGACGCACTAGCAGGCASATCATAATTTTAAATTAGACAGTGTATTTTCTACTTAAAAGCTACAATATCTATGTTAATTAAAAGAAAAAGAAAATAATAGCACATATTGATAGTAAACAATCAAGCTGATTAAGCTGCAGAGGTGCATTATGGATAATTTCATGAATTTTTTTTTTCGTGCTAAATAAGTTAGAAACATGACATAGTTAGCCACCGAATGCCAAATTAAGTCGTAATATCAGCATTGGCTTTTTTACGATTTTATCATTGGCGCTTTGATTTTTTTTAGGTTACTGTATATGAATTCAAAGCGAACTATACAATATTGCACGATATTGCGATATTGCACGTTACATGATTCAATACATTTCAGCCACCTCACTACAACGACTCCCAACGCCAAGCTTTAGAACAGGCAGCCCAACCATTTATTTACAAACCTGCATGCTTGGGAATACTACTACTACTAGAACTGTACTAGAGCAGAATAAGCAATTAGATTTTGGCTTAATCCCTGTATGGTTGTACGTGATAAACTCGCGACTTGCGGAATCAAAGTCTCTKAAAACTCTGAAAGTCTCCTGCGCACCGACTTCTCCTGGATTGCGAAAATACAGGATCTGGGTACGAGATTAAAGCTCTCTAATKCACTAGTCTATTGAAACCCCCGTCTCCCGGGACTAGCGTGGCACTGAACGGGGACGTGACGAGATTTTAACGTGCTTTTAACATCAAAATTGCCACGGAGGGTAGGGATTTTGATGAACTRTTTTYGAAGAGGGCCAAAGAGCAGGGATTTTAACGCTCGTTTAAACATGTATGAGGCTGGAAACTAGATCGAGGACGGCCATCTTGAGAAATACCTTGAAAGCATTGTCTTTGTATACTTTTCCTTGAATGAAAATTTTTTTTTAAAGAAACTTATTACACAAATTTAGTACACAAATGAGTACACAGKATTATACAAAAATAACCCTGTGTATCACAGAAAATTTGATTGAAAGGTGTTTKTTTTGTTATCAATAGACCAAAATAGCGGGCCAACAGTAGCAGGGATTTTAACAATGAATATTACATGCCCCGACTACCGTGGGAAAATCAGGTTTTATTTTAACAAGGCACTCAAACGTTAAATTCCCCGGTATTCCCCGGGGATCGGGGGGGGGGGGGTGGTTTCAATTGACTAGTGCACAAACCCCAGTAAACGATGGGAAGAAAAAAACAACCAAAAAAAGAGAAAGATAAAAAGAGAAAGACAAAAAAAAAAAGAAAGATAAAACAAAGAGTATGCGAAGAAACCTCATTTTCGAGATAAAATTTATTTTAATAGACGATTTAAATACTGTATATCTAAAAACGAAATAAATTCCTTGAGATTTTTAAWGATTCTGTTCGTCGACCAAATGAGTTGTCAGTTATAAATATCCACTTTTAAATCAGGATAGTTAGATCCAGTTAGTTTAAGGGCTACTGGGTTGAAGCGATAACCAATATCAACAAATATTTCAATTACAAACGAGTGTTATTTCTGCAATTTCCAGAAAATTYTCATGTTTAACAACAAACACGAACGATTTCCGAAAGCAATATGTCCGAGAAATATCCGGTCGACGTCCAAGCAATTTCCGAACGCTCTGACAAAATATTTCTGAAAAATTGCAGYAATAAGTTCTCCCTCTGTTACATTTTGTTGTTATTTCTTTTTACTCTTCAGCTGTTCCTTGGCGACCTGAGCAGTTGCTTGCTGTGCAGAAGCTTGCGCTGCATTCAAAGCTGCTTTTTGCTTGGCAAACAAGTTGATTTCTTCCTCCTAAAATTAGTCAATATTGAATAGTTATTGTACAATGTTCGCAAATTACCTTGTTAAACTGTAACTCTACGTTTTCGAGAGCTAACATAGAACAAGTGTTGGTTTGCCTTTGAATATTCACGGCAAATGGACAGCAAAAAAAAAATAAATAAATAAAAAAAAAGAACAACAAACGAATGGATAAAAGAAAACAAATAGAATGGGAAGAAACCCAATGGTTTCCTGTCTTTGTTTCAGAAAGGAAGTGGTMGTATGGTCGTAAAAGAAAGGCTTATAATTGATCAATACTTACCAACATGTGACGTTTTTCCTCAATCTTTTTCTTTTCGTCCGACTGGACTTTCTTAAGGTGGTCAAATTTAGCGTGTAGCTGCAAAAAAAAAAAAAAAAAAAAAAAAAAAAAAAAAAAACACAACATTAAATAGTGTTACAATACCAAGAAAACGTTTGTTTCTACGACTCGACTCCCAACCACCGTTTTTCAGTCTACATTAACTTCCATGAATAAAGTTGAAAAGACAAAAACAACAAGAATACCACCACCACCACCAACAACAACAATAACAACAAAACCAACACTTGTGAGATTTAGTCTGACATGTAAGTCTTATTTTTTCCATATCAAAGGTTATCGAGCCCAACTGTTCTTATTTGGTGCCCTCTGGGTATCCCGTAGTTCTTAATCACTGAAAACACCAGAATTCAAGAGATGGTCACCTCATGTTCTGCTGACTTTAATTCGCCTTCCTTGTCTTTGACTTTCTGTACAAATCGCTGCCTCATCTTTTCCTCTCTTTCTTGGAATTCTTGCATGTAATCTTTTCTTCGCTGTTCGTAGGTTTCTTGTAGACTTTGACCTTGGTTATGTTCATCACCATCGCTGAAGCCCATCTCTTCGAGTTTACTTTGYCGGAATAGYTCATAGTGTTTGGAATGCGTTTTGTCGATGAGTGCTTGCATGTTGGTTCTAAAAAGTATCAAACAAAACTATGACGTTTGAAACGGTAAAACGCACTTGGAGATTGGAGMTCGCCTTCAGCTTCCGAGGATGGTATGAGGCTGCAGAGGAGAATAAAGGAAGCATAACACAATGGCATTATACAGMCTCCCCSCAGGCAAATCCTGTTATTCMCAKATTTTTTTCTCTTTGGGCTTCCTTTGTAAAAACTTAAAAGAGCGGAAGGGGTGCTTGAAACCGAACGAACTTCTTGAACCATTCTTCACATTCCATTCACACACAAGAAACTCAAGCATCAAAAAAAATCATTGAAAGTTAGGCTGCCTCTTCTTTATATAAACACTGGCAATTTACCTGATAAGCATTTCTCGTAGTTTTACAAAATCACAGTGTTTCTCATTTTCAACTGAAAGTAAAAGAATAAATTGTTAATGCAGTCAGAACGTACAGAGATTATAAGCAATAGTCTTCTTCATGTTTCAGTGCGCCATCTCGAAGAGTAGCCGTGCCTTTGCGTCGAAGCAAGACGACCATTGGGCATGCACTGATAGAAACCTTCTTTCATACCTACAGACAATTATTTACAGGTACTGTATCTATCATTGCACACTCAACGGTTGCCTCGCTTCGATGCAAATGCACGGCTACATTTCAAGATGGTGCAGGGAATGATGAAAGAGCCCCATTATAATAAGTCAAATCAATATTTGTAATGTACTGATTATAAATGATATTTAATGATAAAAATTAATGTTTCACTTCAAGCATTTCGTACTTGAAAGTCAAGTAACTTAGYTACAAGACAATAATTTACCTTCTACTGTTCCCCAAGGATACACACGCCCTCTGACTTTCTGCTTGTTCACAACTACTTCCTCTCGACTGCCAACTATAGCGAAAGGAATTTCTGCCTGCAGAAGACAAGAAAAACAATTTAAATWGCTACAGAGAAAAAGAAGRA